GAGATGACCTCCATCCTGTGTCATCTCATACCGTGCCCAACCCTACATACGAGAGTTTTTTTATTAGAGTCACAAAATCCCAGTATTTTTTTTCTTCACCAAATGCCAGTTGTTATCATTTTTCAGTAATGCCATGCAATAATACAAAGGCCAATGGGTGTAACTTAGTAAAAAATGACTTTGACTTGTAGACGAGTAGTTTCATATTCAAACTATCATGACACCTTAGTAATGTGTGTGTGAGAAAATTTTCCTCCTTTTAATTTAGACTATTGCTTGTTTTAAAAATTAAAAAAAAACTGCATCATTCCCGAAAAAAAAAAAAGAAGGAAATATTGGCTGCATGGATATGGAAGTCAGAAAATTGATTGCAAATAACTTGAACAAAAACAAAATGGCATCTAGTTTTTTCTATTAATTTCTGCTAAAATTAACTTTCTCGTAGCAGTACTTCTCTCCATATGCAACAATTAATTGAATTTTCAGCAAATGAATATTTGGAGTAGGATAATGGGAGATGAAAGCTGTTAAAATGCTAATAATCCAACATTAATGGCTTTCTTCTGCCCAAAAAAACCTGCAAATCCCCATCCGACCCACCAGCGATAAGTGTGCATTGCTCCTCGTCAACTTGCCTCCAGCAAACGCTGCTCACAAACCCAAGCTCCTCATCGCACCCACCACTACTACCCTCACCCACCGCTCCAAACCCATGCAGCCAAATGGGCTCGCCCCACCTCTTATCGTACACATACACCCTATTATCCTCTGACCCGCACCCGATTAGCCCCCCATTCCTCCACACCGATAACCCGACAAAGCTCCGATTATTTGTGTGCCCCTTGTACGTCCGAATCTCCCGCGAATCCTCCGTGTCCCACAGCTTCAAACACCCGTCCGTGCCAGCTGTCACAACCGTACACCCGTCGATAAACCGGACATAAGTCACGGTCTTCCTATGCCCGTCGAAGACCAAAACCGGGTCCACCATTTTCCGCACATCGTACCCGTATGCCCTCCGGTCCGCACATCCGACGGCCACCAAGGCCCCACCAAAAGGATCGAACTCCACGCAGCAGACCGGATTACGAGCCTCGCTGGGCTGCACACTAGCCACGCATTCCCCGC